GTGTGTGTGTGTGTGTGTGTGTGTGTGTGTGTGTGTGTATGTGTGTGTGTGTGTGTGTGTGTGTGTGTGTGTGTGTGTGTGTGTGTGTGTGTGTGTGTGTGTGTGTGTGTGTATGTGTGTGTGTGTGTGTGTGTGTGTGTGTGTGTGTGTGTGTGTGTGTGTGTGTGTGTGTGGGTCGCATAACTCATGAACCGATACACAGAAAAACACCAAATTTTAAACTTAAGCTTTGTTTCAGCGTTCAATGAGCTGATTAGATTTTGGGCAGAGTCGGAACATCTGGGGGGTACTTTATAGGTGATCATTTTTATATTTTATGGAATATATCTGTTATTTACGTTTGGAGAAGAAAATTCTATAAATAAAAGTTACTTCTTATATAATTATCTATAATTTTTGTTTTATGCAAAATTTTCCTAAAATGGTCCGTATTCGAGAAATTTGACAAAATGTAAAAAAGGAAAAAACATTAAATTTTAAACTTAAGTTTTATTTCGACCTGAGGTGAACTGATTAGATTTTGGACAGAGTCGGAACATTTGGGGGGGTACTTTATTGGTGGTCATTTTTATATTTTATGGAATATATTCGTTATTTACGTTTGGGGAAGAAAATTCTTTAAATAAAAGTTACTTACAATATTATTATCTATAATTTTTGTTCTATGTCAAATTTTCCTGAAATGGTCCGTATTCGAGAAATTTGACAAAATGTGCAAAATTCTGATTTTTAAGAAAATTGTTAATCTAAAAGTTGTTTGCGATATCGATCTCTATAATTTTTGTTTTTAAATTACTTTTCTAAAATGGACCGTAATGGAAAAATTGGAGGAAAAGTGCTAAATTAAAATTTTTCAGTATTTTCGTTTTCAATGAATATCTATAGAAAAATGTTTCGAGGTAGATGTATGTGGAAAATGTATATATTTAGTTTATCCTCTAAACATTTTTAGAGATGCTGCAATAGGTTAACTAGATAGGAAAGTCATGTGTTGGACACATCAGATTTTTTTGTAACAAAATGCTTTGCATTTTTGTCTCTATACAAATTTCAAAACAGAAACATCCAAAATTGTACTTAATTTCGTATTTAGACCACTGCATGAAACAACGGGGCGCTTGATAAAAAGAATCCAATAGAAAGATTTCCTAATCCGAGCGAACGGAGCGCTTGAGGCGCTATGCATAAAACCGCCGAACATGCTTCTCTTCTATCGGTGCGTTTATGATGGTTGCCATGGTAACGGCCCGTTCCGATCTAGCCGATTAATGCACTTGGCGCGTTAATTCAGTTTGCTTCTTCTGGTCGGGACTATTTTTCAGTGTTGTCAATTGAGGATAATTGCTTACATTTGTAAGCATTTGAAACTTGTGGAGCAAAAGGGGGAGCGTTGACCTAATTGTGAGGAATTTGTGAGGATTCAGTAGTCTTGAGTTAATTCACCAAAATTAGGTATATTTGGCGAATTATGACGCTTACAACTCTAAATTTTAGTTCTTTTTTTTTATAAAAACACCAATTTTTCAGCGTTAGCGTTTTAAAAAATCAGATCTTGAATATTTTCAGTTTCTATAAATGATGATTAGTAATTTAGATAGTGATGAAAAAATCTGATAGATGGCGTCAGACTATTGGCAAAATTACCGATTGTGCTGAATTTTTGAATGAAGAATGTATTCGGTTTTAAAAAACGATCTGCTTATTGTTTGTGTGCTGACATTATTCACAGATAACTTAATATTTTTTATTGCCATTATAGAAGGAAAATATAGTTATTTTTAAATAATATCTCTTCAAAATGTATTTCTTCGCTATTAGATGGCGTGATATTCTGTTGATGAACTAAATTGTTTGTCTAATGTCTACAAAAAACAAGCAAAACTATAAAGTTTTTCTTATTTTTGAATCTAAATTGTGTTCTTAAACCTGTGTGAGGAATTTGTGAGGATTTTGTTGCTATTGTGAGGAAAAATGGAGCATTTTAAATTAGATTTGGGGGTAATTCCTTTATTTGCGGTTGGCAACACTTCTATTTTTATACAGTGGTTGGACTAGTTAGTCACTTGCGACTCTTGTGAGTTTTTTTTTCGATTTTTCTAACAATGTTTCCAGTACATGATCCAGTATGTATGCTATTGGAGATGCCATTGTGTAGATGGGGAAGTGAGGATAGAAAAGACTTTTTAAATTCACCAAAACCTGAACCTCTACTAAATGTAAGCAAAAAAACTAAATCAAAAGACAAAGTGCTTGTACGAAAATTTTGGAAAGAGTGGTATTTCGAATGTAAATGGTTGTGTGGTAGTTTTTATTTAAACAAGCTTTTCTGCGTACCCCTGTTTGATAGTAGGTGTAAAATCAAATATATGGAATTATGACGGTTTTAGTAATTTTGGGAACGTAACTCGTGGCCTACATAAACATGAATCATCATGTGAACATATGAGTTATACATTTTTTTTTAATTTCTCAACATTATTCGTATTTATTTAACAAGTAAAAGAAATTATGAAAATTACTTTTTTAGTTTTAGTTTAAAATAAATATTTTACAAGTATTGATAAGTCCATCCGTGGACACACCCTAGATAGTACAAAAACATCCCATCTACGTTAATAAGTTGCAATTTTAGGCTCTTTAAGCTCGCATGCGATGTACTTTTAATGTAACCCTAATATCCCTGCAACCGCCGAATATCCGCAACGCCAAGACTTTTATAGCACATCTCACAGAGATTACAAAGTGAAGTTCGAAAAACATCACACTAGCACTTTTACGGTACTTACCCCGAAAGTTGCTCTGAAACTTTCTATAGATGTTATAATGTGAATTAGTTCTGCAGCATTATACAGTGTGTGTCCATGGATAGGCTTAACTATACTTGTGAAAATTTTTTATTTTAAATTAAAAAAGTAATTCTTCATACTTTCTTTTATTTGTTAAATAAATTCGATTCACATTGAAAAATTATGCAAAATAACTTTTTTTTATTTAAAATAAACATTTTTACAAGTATAATTAAGTCCATCCGTGGACACACTATATTGTTCTTTGTGTAATGTAATACGGAGAGGCTGAAATTGAGGTTATAGTAAAATCTCAATCGAGACATGGAAATTTCAAATAAAACAAAATATATAAATTTAATATTAAAATGTTCTTGAAATCAAGTAAAAATATCACAAAATTAGAGGTAGGTATATCAGAAAGGCAGTTACAAATGTGCGATAATAGAAGCCATCTATAAAGCACCATCTATAAAGCACTGAACCATTGGACAAACTTAGCTTAATAGTATAACAAGGTATCAATATTGCAAAGGTTCACTAGAAGTTTAAACAGTGAACGATTGTACAAGAGTATATTTATATAAGGCACATTTCAAGATGGCAATTTTATGATGCTAAAACTAGATCGGTGAATAATACAACAATGCAAACGTAAAAAACCGTCGAAAACTCGAGGTCGAAAAAATCATGATTCTGTTACTTTCCTTATCTGTATACAGATAGGAAAGTTAAAACAACTCATGTTTTTTAGCAAGATATTCTGATGTATACCCGAGGGCATCTGTGATTTCTTTCAAGTTTTCTTCTAGGTTTGTATTTGAACTGATGATTAGATTCCAGGCACAACAAGCCTATTGATGATACTGAACTGCTTGAATCTGATGTTTTTTTTTTCAATATAGACGTGCCATGTACCTAGCTGTATATTCACTTTTTATAAAATTTCAGGCGTTATATATTCGTCTTTAGACATGTCTGTAGTACTTACTTTTGCTTTTAAAATTTCTAGAATGTCATCAGGTACAAAGGAAACCTAAAATATACCCAATAAATATGAAACATTGCCAGTCTTTTTTGTAACGTTTCTCATAGAGACTTTTCTTGATATATTTTTGAATCGATACTAAAATATCCCATAGATGTTTCAATTTTAACATCATATTCACTAACATTCCTCGCCTATAACTACAAATGAAGTTTTATGTACGCTGCAATACTTGAATTAGCTGTTACGTAAACATCTTCTGTACTTCTTTTTAGTTACAAACATTTATATGATGTTAATTTTTATAAATCACAATAATATCGCATACAGGTCAGCACAGTAATGTGTACAAGTTACACATCTTTAAGATGGCTATCTTTAGTCTTTACATCGCAGACCTGGCAGACCTAACAGTTCGACCCGCGTTCATAGATGGAGATACCAATGATCGCTTGCTACTTACATAACAAGTAGTACTGTATATTATGGAGCAGTCTGTTGCCCAGTATTATTAAGTATTTCATCAAAGTTTTTACCTTTGCTATTAATTTAGACCATTATACTTTTTCTGTAAAATTTTGTTTTCTAGGATTAGAAGTATAGATATAGATAGAAGTTTAACTTGTCTTCTAAGCTTTTAACTTTAAGTTTATTTATTTTTATTCTGTGCTTATCCCCGAAAAAAAAATTAGTTTTAAAACAATTATCTGTTTCCACAAATTTTATTTTAGATGTACATCAAAATTTATAAATATATTTAATAAAATAAGCCGGACCTGACTATAAATATAATAAGTATCAGTTCCATTGTAACGGTTACAACTCATTGTTATATATTGTTTAATGTTTTGTTTAAATAAACAATTCATGTTACTTTTTCTTTTATGTATTTAACGTGTTAAACGTTTTCTTTTTTGTTTATTAAATAATGTCAACATTAATAATGCATTATTTCTAGAAAGTGGATAAGAAATGGCTGACAAAATTTACAGGAGCACCATCTATTAGCGAATATTCAAAACTATATACAAAAGGAAGAAACTGTATTGCTTTAGCCATTCGCTAATAGATGGCTTTTCTAATTAACCATCTTCTATAGTATTACAGAAATATGTAGTGTAGTTTTGGTTTAAAATAAATAGAGTGCGCTGACGGTCCATCGTGTCTAGTTTTTAGTTGACAATTGACAGAACGCAGCCGAATAGAAGATGAAAGAAAAAAGATTAGTAGTTCGATAGCTCTTGTCTGTGGTACGGTTTGTTGAGGTTCAACAATTACGTGTTGTGTTATCGGATATTTTGACATGTAAACTAACAAAGTATAACCAGTGTTTTTGTTTTGTTTGGTGATTACAAATGTTTTGTTTTAATAGTTGAATATTGTGTTTGTTATCGACTTATAGGTACTTTTTTTTGAGGATAGAAGTACCTAGCCAAAGGAAACAAAAGGCCTTAAAGTGACGTTATTTTGTGTGCCTCGACAGAAACGATCATCTCAGAGCGAAAGCGTGAGTTATCTATTTCAAATAACTATTAGTTGTAGTGTTTGTATAATAACTTAATAACTAAGATATATATCTCGAATGTTAAAGTACCTTTGGCGTGTTTATATTCGATTTTCGGTAAATTATTGAATCGTGCCTATACAGTTATGTTCACATTTAAATAGACAAGAGACATTTAAAGAGGAATTTATGTGAAATATCGTATTGAAAAGTGGTACTGCTATATTTCAATTTGATTCCGAGATAAATTACTTTGTATTTAATTTGTTAAAGGCCTGAAAGTACGTAAAAATATTTGTATGTAGGTGTTTTACAGTTATTCCTTAGCTAATCACATATTTATAGTTACTTTACTGTACCCACTTGACTAGAATGTGTGTTTAAAGCCTAATGACACAATTAAGTAGTGGTGACTCAAAAATAGGTGATCGGAAATGATAATAATCTTGACAGCTATAGGTATTTAGGTACTTAAGTAAAATACGTTTTGTAGTTATTTTCAAGTAGGTACCCAATTAGGTACACGTTCATTGATAATGACTAATTACGCTATTATAGATATATCCGTTTTATGTTCTGAATAGAAAATATACAGTATTAAAAAAGAATAACGGGAGATATTATGTAAAATCGGTACTTGTAGGTACTTACGATGAATGAGTTATATGGCATTTTTAACAAAACATGTTTTGTGTTTGTATTATAACAATGAAAAAATGTGGATTCCAAATACTTTTTTTGAATTCTCAACATTCTTTTGATTACTAAGTGCATATCAATATTTATATGGGTATATACCTACTTAAATACACTGGATAAATAGATATATTTGTTTTTTTTTAATGAATATTGTAGATACCTAAGTATTATAATCATTATTATCTGCATAGATAATAACAATAAAGTTGGGACACAGGATTGTTTTTTATATTACCTAGATAGGTGTACCTAAGTTTCTAAAAATGTGATTATTGTTTTGATTAGGTGTCTTTCACTTAATATTTGATAGGTATTACTTTACAGAAGTTTTCCAAAATATATTTTGGTCTACCTACCTACTTAAGTACTTAAAAAAATGATTAACTGATAGTATTATCACAGTGGGGGTGCTTTATTCTCACACATAAACATAAAAAACTATCTAATTTACCTAACCTGTTCTTCCTGGATCTATCAGGGGTTGCTAGGAAAAAAATATACATGAAATGAGAAATATTAAACAAAAAATTAACTAATTAAGGTGATCGAACTAGTTAGTTGGACAGCACTAGTTTTTGGACAATTTTGAATAAATCCTTTAAAATAAGAACTTTTTATGCATATTATATGATTGATGCATGCTTTGTTTATACTATCCCCTTCCACTCACACTTTTTTAACACCATCTTATCTTAGGAAAAGCCCTTAAATAACTTAAAAATGGCAACGGCCCAGAGTGCGACTTATTACAAAAATTGTAGTAGACTAGCTTCTGAAAAATAGGAAATAGATGTTCTAATACTATTTTTTTATAGGTATTTTAGTTTTCTCTGGGTAGTAGGATTATAAAATTACATTTTTAAGCATAAATATTGTACTTAATCAAATTTTTAAATGCTGAAATTAAGTACTGGGGTAATTAGTTCCATAAAATTGGGTATGACAGTAAAAGTTTCCTAATAAAAAAGGTATAGATATATCACTTAGGTATATTTGGTTCCATTGTTCATATTGAAATAAAGAATGTAGGTACTGATCAATTTTTGGAAACATTTTCTGACTATAGGTATGAGAGAGATAGGTACATTCTTTAAGGTATCTGAAAAATAAAGATTATAATGTAGTTTAATTATAGGATTTAACTACATCAAAGGTTTATTGAGATACTGTGTCCGTTTTTTTTTAAATACAGTTATTTTTAAATTACTTAAATTGCTTGTTTTCGAATGTTTGACATAGTTTTTAGATGACTAAAAAAATACTGTTTGAAACAGCCTCAGAAACATCAGCAGCAAAAACCTCGGCAAAAACATGGAAATTTTGAACATATTCTGGCAATTTTGTTGAATCAGCTGTAATGAGTATCAGCCAGGAATTAGCATAAGAAAAGCCACAGGTGGTTTTGGAATACCCACAACAAAAATTCATGACAAATACCTGTTCACCAGAATTACTGACAGTAAAAAAAAGGTCCACCACTAATACTGACAGTAGGGGGTGAAAAAAAAAGGAGCTCCTAAAGTGTTGTCTTGAAATTTCGCTAAGATAAACAGAAGGCATTAACAAAGTTCGAGCAGTGATGACAGAAGAGAACAATTTGGAGACTGTTTTGAAAGACACCTCAAGCGTGGGTATTCAATAGGGATGAATCAGGATTTTCATATGGCTCTAAATGTGCCAGCAGGAAAAGCTTGTCATTTCTTGGTAGATTTTTTATATGAATGACCTCCTTGAGTACTACTTAATTAGAATTGTTCCTGATACCTGGGGTTGTTGGAAAATCTAAGTAGGGCTGGATAAACGGCCTTTTAAGAATATATATCAAATGCAATAAACTCATGATTTACAGATAATGCTATACAGAGAGAGTCTGTAATTTGGAATAAATTCAATAGTTCAAATACTAATTTTTTTTTTAATGCTCGGACACGTCGTTTAGTATTTCCAATCGCGATTTTTTACATACAATAATAATGTATTAATCCAATATACAGTATCACTGTTGTACCTATGTGAATGCAATAAAGCATATATTGGTAGTTTGTTGGATTTTCTATGTAGGTTTAATCTTTGTTTAGTAGATTGTTCCAATGTTGGAGAGCTATGTTTTGTCTAGAATATTGGAATAGGCTGAAGAATTTTTTATTATATTAAAAAAATATTGATTCTAAACATAGGATTAATAACAGTCAAACATATTTTTCTAATGTTAATATCCACAACGCCTATTTTTTCTATATTAATAAAACATAATATGGCAAATGATGGTAGTTTATTGGATTTTTATTGATTTTCTATTTAGGTTTAAACTGTGTTTTGTTGATATTGCCAATGTTAGAGAGCTATGTTCTCTTAATGATGACAAAATAGCAGTAGCCTATATTAGCAACAGAATTCAGTCTGATATCAAAAAAATATTGATTTAAAACATATGAGCAATATTTTTTTAATGTTTGTATTGGCAGCGCCAATTTTTAGAATATTAATCTAATATAATTTACCATTTTTTTGCAATGTGGGTGCAATATAGCAAATAATGGTAGTTAAGTGGATTTTTATTGATTTTCTATCAAGGTTTTAAACTTTATTTTTTAGATAGTACCAATGTTGGGGAACTAGTTTCTGCTATCTCATATCGGGCAAATAATTCAATCTAATATCCAAATATAGGATTAATATTAGCAGAACGTGTATTTCTTATGTTCTTATTGGCAACGTTTTTTCCAATATGGATCCAATATAAGTTTTATTCCAATATGGTACAATATAGCAAATAATGGTACTTAATTTGATTTTTATTGATTTTTTTCTACACCCACGTGCATATTATCTATTTTCTACATAATTTACATATGTAGGCCATATCAGTATGCTGAAGGGATTAATCGATTATTTTTCAAATTAAACAAAGACTTTATTTTAAAACAAGTTGGTTATGGCCAAGTTGTTTACTAAAAAAAATGTTGTTTCAATCCATTAAAAAATGCGTTGTGGGTTTAGACTAGACGTCAAATTTTGCATTTTTTATAGAACAACTAAAGAGTTACATATTCAAATTATAAAAATATAAAGGTAATAATTTAATATTGAAATAGATGATTTTTAGTGTATGGAAATTTTTATAAATACCTACCTATATTAGAAAAGTATTAATTTTGGAAAAAAATCCTAATGTCAATATAGATACCTACCTACGAATTTGACCATTACATCGCAATATTTTACTTAAACCAAATAAATGTTCTAAATAATTACCTATTATTGTATTAAAATTATTAGGTTTCGAACATTTTACTAAGCAAAAATGTATAAAAACAAGCTAGCAGCTAGTCCCAGTTTAACCGATTAAGATATTAGCTCTATCCACGCTCTAGCTCTCTGGATACGGCAGTCACAATCACCAGAGCTATTACGAAACCACCTTATCCACCCCTCCGACCTAAGTCACCTGAGTGATCAGCAGATCACAGGTGAAGCCACGCGCCACCCTGCCTCACTGCTCACTACCTTGTAATAGCAATTAACAGATGTGTATGAAATACGTCTAGCAGCAGGACGCTGCCCAGATACTTGTTCTAATATAAGCTACGAATTTTTTTTAGTGAAAACTGGGCTTCTGAGTGAGGGATGTTTTGTCATAAAATGTAAGTACAATCTTTTTTTGCTAATTAACAAATAATAATTCAATGCAGTGTATTTGGAAATGTTTGCCAATATTAGACCAATTGTAAGCCTATCTCAAACCAATATTGAATCAAATCGTTAATTATTTTAGCCATGTGGCAATCCGGCAGTTTCAGTTTACGTTGTTAAGGGTTGCGCGCACCTATTTAACCTGTTTTGCTGATTAAACAATAAAAATATTATACTTTGAAATTATTGCCAATATTAGGCTAATTGCATGCCTATCTCAAGCCAATATTGATTCTAATCGTTGATCACTTTAACAAAATGGCAATTCGGCAGCTTCAGTTTGCAACAGGTCTGTTCCAATACACTTAAAAACCATAATATTACGGTACGGTACAAAAAAAATACCATGCGCTGTACGCATAAAGTTCATACAGCGCATGATTTGTACTGTAATATTTTGGTATGTACCTACTTAATATTGTGGTTTTCGCGTGTGTAGTGTGTCAGTGTTGCCAGTCTAGTACATTCTTAAAGAATCTGGTATTTAGTACGCTCGGTGCAAAAGCTAGTAAGTACTTTTATCTCTAGCGTGTGCGTATGCCTTCATTTGGCTGGGTGTCTATTAGTGTACCTATTAGCTACACTGTTTTTTAAATTTTTTTTTGCTCTTC